TTCAAATCCCAGCTGCTCCACTTCTGATCCAGTTGCCTGCTATTGTGCCTTGGAAAGCAGTGGAAGATGGCCCAAGTACTTGGGTCCAAGGCTACCCACATGGGAGACCCAGAAGAAGCTTCCAGCTCCTGCCTTCAGCCTGGGCCAGTCTCAGCCATTGTGGTCATGTGGGGAGGGAACCAGTGGATGGAAGATTTCTCTCTCTCTCTTCCCCCTCAAATGTAAATAAATCTTTATAAAAATGAGAATCCAGTATTTAATGAAACAAATAGGCCTTATTATCATAAAAATCACACTTTTATTTTTGCCAACCTACTTTCTCCAAAATAGCTTAAAAGCAGTTCTCTCATCCTGACAGTCTCTGGAGATTTTAGCTCAATAAATAAATGAATAAAAACAACTCTCATCTCAATGATCTAGGGCATCACATGTTCTGCATGACGGTAGTCAGAGAGATCCTCAAAAAATCATGAGGGGCCACCAGTAAGCTCAAAGCAACAGAAGTAGGAACACGTTCTGACACCTGAGTCATCTGCATGCGGTAGTCCTCTACCAGGCTTCTATTTGAGCAGACATTAATGGAAAATAACCCAGAATCAGCTTTTAAGACTGGAAAGAACCTTATCTGATCCATCTCCCTAACTTTAAGATAAAAGAAACCAAAGCTCAGGGAGAGGGTGTAACTAAACCCAGATTGCTCAGCTTGTCTTTGACAGATGCAAGGGAAGTCAAGCCACCTGCCTCCCATTGCAGTGCCCATTTGTCTCCCCAGAGCTGCCAAGGGCAGGGTAAATGCCTGAATGCAGCCCTTGAGGCAATGGCTACAGGCACTCCCAAGCACTCCACCCCACCACAGGCAGACTTCCTTTCCAGTTGCTATTATGGCTTCCTCCTAGCATGCCTCTGCCTTAAGACTATTTAAGACAGCTCTCAGGAACTCCGGAATTCCCTGTGCAAATGAATAGCCCCCGAAAGGCACGCTTGCCTTTCTTCTGTAAAATGGGACTATCTTCAATCCTTTTCTTGTGTCAGAATTCTGAGGAAGAGCTGAAGAAGGTATTAGCCACCAAGGAATCCCACATTCTTTGATAAAATCTAGAGAAAGATTACAATCGAATATTTACAGAACAGCTAACTGCTAATGTTAAGCCAAGTGTTGGATTTCAGCATTTTATAAAGAGTGAATATGATTTTGATCTTTCTATAACTTTTTTTAATAGAGGTAACAAACAATAACAACTGACACTTGATCCCCTTAGTGACTCTGTCAGGGGAAGGAAAGGAATCACCTGTCTTGTTCAAGGTCATAGACTTAATAAAACACACACTGGAGCAATGACCTTATAGAAGGCCTTCTCCACTTCATGGTGTAAATTAGCTTTTGAATTTTATGCTCAAACTGTGCACAAGGGGCTGGCATTGTGGTGTAAGGGGTTAAGCAACAGCCTGAAATTCTGGCATCCCATTTGGGTGCTGGTTCGAGTCTGGGTTGCTCCACTTCAAATCCAGCTCCCTGTTAATGTGCCCAGAGAAAGCAGAGGAGGAGGTCCAAGTTTGTGGGCCCCTGCACTCACAAGGGAAATCCCGATAAAGCTCTTAGCTCCCAGCTTTGGCCTGGCCCAGCGCTGGCTATTGCAGCCATTTGGAGAGTGAACCAGAGGATGGAAGTTCTAGCTCTTCCTCTCTGTAACACTTCCTTTCAAGTAAACTAAATTGTGCATAACAATACTGAAGATCTACCTTTTCTGCTACATGTGAGACATTGAACTAAGAGTGTAGTTTGAACCTGTAAATTCAGCAGCAGCCCCCACAGCCCTGTTTCTCTCTGCTGGAAACTAAGTGACACAGGGGAATAACAGAGGGTAAACTGGGGTTCACAAGCAACTTATTTTCTACATTAGTTCAAAAACAATCTGAAATGGCTTTTAGCTTGGAAAATTCCTTCAAAACTAAGGCTTGCATTCATTTTTCCTTTCACTGTGATTATTAACTCACATGGATGCAGAGAAAATATTTGGAAGGCTATATCCCAAGTTTGCATTACCTTTTTCTGATATAGCTGCCTCTATTTTACTTATTATTATTATCAATCTGTATTTTTATGTGTAATGAATATGTAGAGTTCTGATAATAAGAAAACAAAGTGTATTTTTATTTTTTAAATATATTCTTCATTCTGAACAATGGAAAAATTGATTGTTTCCCCCAAGGAGTTTAGAAACTATTTCTGTGAACCAAAAAAATGCAGAGTACTCCCAGCCATCAGACCAGAACCTCTGCCCTGCTTCTACATCTGGGTACTCCCTGCTCCCAAGAAGATAAAACAATGTGTCAGGACACCAATTTTACTGAAGCATTTTGGGGAAAAACATATTTCATATTTAAATCAAGTCCATGTATCATGAAATTAAATGAAAAAACATTGCTCAAGTTCTTAAAACAATTTTCAAGTCTGCTGAAGCCAACTTGAATGCCCACTCCCAAGAGCACTTATTCATCTTCTTTCTCATCAGAGGCCCTTCTATGGAGAAATCTAGGAAGCCCTAAAGGAAACAGTACCATCTTATCTTTCTCCTATTCGGAGAAAGCAACAACTTCATGGAAACCAAGTCACTTTTCCTGCTGGTTGAAAAAGCCAAATTTGTCTTTTTTTTTTTTTTTTGACAGGCAGAGTGGACAGTGAGAGAGACAGAGAGAAAGGTCTTCCTTTTTTTGCCGTTGGTTCACCCTCCAATGGCTGCCACGGCTGGCGTGCTGCGGCTGGTGCACTGCGCTGATCTGAAGGCAGGAGCCAGGTGCTTCTCCTGGTCTCCCATGGGGTGCAGGGCCCAAGCACTTGGGCCATCCTCCACTGCACTCCCTGGCCACAGCAGAGAGCTGGCCTGGAAGAGGGGCAACCGGGACAGAATCCGGCGCCCCAACTGGGACTAGAACCTGGTGTGCCGGTGCTGCAGGCGGAGGATTAGCCTATTGAGCCGTGGCGCCAGCCCCAAATTTTCTTAATCTACTACATCTTTAAAAATTCTTTGTAGAGCAGGTGGCAGCAAATGAATCACCAGGGAACTCTGGAAGGCTGCACAGGCACAGCTTACTCTAGCTCCCTGACCCTAGGCAGGTAACTGCCCAGCCTGCTGTCCTAAGTTTTGGGGACGGTAGGGCCTGGGCTGCCTCACATTTCTACTGGGTAGCAGACTACTCTGCACAAGGTGTGAATTCATTCATTCCACAAATGTTTATTGAGCCAAGCCTGCAAAAGGCCTCTTAAGGGACAGTGGGACCATTCACAAGCCAACGGTAAGGTCTAACGGATCAGATGCGGACAATCAATCTTTCATTTAGACCCTAAACCACTTCTAGGATAAAGCAAACAGTACCCCCTGCCTCGCCCACGCACTAGCAGCTGGGCGGGATCAGGTAAGTCTTCTGGAATAGCGCTGCTACTGAGCAGGGCTAAAGCAGCCACTGACTCGCTGTGGAGTAACTGAAACTCCTGCATCATAAATGACATAACACTTCTAAGATGCTTTAACAGTGCTCGGGACCCATGACAGCTCAATAATATTAGTCATGTTTTGCTGTTTTATTCCAGCTCACCCTTTACTGGGTGAGCACAAAGAAAGTGGAAGGAACATAGATTTTAGAATTGGAAAGCCTGGATTTGAAACCCAGCTCTGCATCTTCCTAGCTATGTGCTAAAAATGATCCTCCCAAGCCTCAGCTTCTCATGTGTAAAACGCGATGCAGTACACCATCTCCCTCAGGTGGCTTTGTGAGAACAGAGAACAGTACCTGGCCCCTAGGAAGCTCCCAGTAAGAGTCAGCCTTGCCCTGCCCTCTTGCCTGCACCTTCTCATCTCCTTCCTGGTTTCTCTTGGTGATTTCAGCTGGAACCACACTAAGGGTGAGGAGGGGCAGAAGAATCACAGAGGTGAGGGAAGGAGGAGGGAGGAGGAGGGAGGAGGAGGGGAAGAGAAGGAAAAGGAACTTCTGAGGAGCCCTCCAGGAGAAACTCTTCAAAGTCCACAGCTCCATTCAGCCACTCTCCTGCCTCCCAGCGACAGGGGCCACCATCACAGCTGGGATGGCTGCCAAGAAGGGGACAGGAAGCTGGACAGTTTTGAATCCATTCCACCTTCCAGAGTTTGTCCACAGCCTCACGGGACTTGCTCTGCACACCCTGCCAGGCTGTATGGGTCAGCAGTTGACCGGCAATTCAGGCTGTGTTCTACCACGACTTTCACTCCAACCCGGGCCCAAAGCCCAGGAGGCGGCTGGTCCCAAAGCAGCGCTAAACGCAGATAAGGACTTTTCATGAAGGCAGGAAGAGGAGCCCCCTCAGAGTCGATGGGGAGGAGAAAGGGACCGGCTTTAGAGTCCCTGAGTCAGTTGGTTTTCCACTCTGAAAGACGCCCAGCTCGCAGCCGGACGAGGTCTGGGTAGAGGAAGGGGATTCCAGGACAGATCCCAGATCCGCTTGTTTTCAAAGGAGACGTCTTCAGCGCCTTACCCATCCTTCCCAACACCCCACCTGGAAATTGGTACTGATGCCCTACCGTTCTTCACCTGAGCAATCTGGCGGCGGTTAATTCCGCAGCCAGGTCGTGCCCCAAGCCAGCCCCAAGCCTAGGGTCAGTCTTGAAAAGCCCCCAGAAAACGCCACAGCCCAGAAAAACTTCCCTAACCTCGCCTCCCCAAGCTGCCTGAGACTCTTGAACAGGTGGGAAACTGAGGAAAGGAGCATGTCGGGTGCCAAAACTCAGTTGACATTTTAGAATTCAGACGACTAATGGACTTCATTCTACTTCGACCCGTTCATGTAACGGAAGAGGAAAGACAGACCAGAAAAGGAAATAAAGTTGCCCGAGGTAGCACAGCAAATGGGCAGAGAAGGCGAGACTAGGACCCAGGTGCGCTCCTTTGAACACCGGCCTCGCGGAGTGCCTCGTCTCCTCACCGCCAGCCCCCAGTCCAAACCCGGCAGCCCAGGAGCGACGCCTTACCTTCCTCCGGGCTGGGCACTGCGAGCCTCCTCTCTGGCGGCGGGACGCTGGCGGCTCGGCGCTGCTGGCTGAGTGGCTCGCTCGCTCGCCAGCTGCAGACCCAGGGGCCGCCCAGCAGCTGTCAGCGCTGCGCGGCGGGTGCAGGCTCCCCCGGCTGGCCGCAGGCTGCCGGCGGTGGGCGGGGCCGTGCCCACCGCATCGGCCAATAGCGCCGCGCCCCGCCGCGCCGCGCCCCGCCCCGCCTGCCCCGCCCCGCCCCGCCCCGCCCCGCCCCAGCGCCCTGGTCCGCGTTTCCTTCTTTTGCTCTCACAAGGCTTCTTTCTCGAGTGTACCTTGCCCCAGAAACAACCTGTTTGCTGCTCCAAGAAAGAAAGCGACAGCGTTGAGGGGGCAGTTGCTTGAACCATCGGGATGTCGACTTCCTCACGTGTAAGATACAAATGTCTCACAGGTGTTGAGAGGATTAAATGAAGTGATGCTTCGACGGCCCTAATGCAGTCATTGCTGGATAAATGGTTAGCGCTGTGCGTGCTGCCGCAGCCTCCGATGGGTGCGCCCAGACCGTGGGCACGCTCCCGGAAGGCGTTGGTCGTTGGGGAGGCAGGCACCCCCACTAACACAATATTGGACCCCGACCAATGTGACCAAGTAAACAAAGATGTGGCTAGTCCCCCACACTTCTAAACCTTATGGCCTTCTCCTTTCTCGTCCACTCCTGGACTAGCGTTGTGTATCCAACTAGAGTGCCCCCGGGGCTGTCGTTGGTTCTTCCAAAAGTACAAACTTACAATGCTGCCTCCCCCCACCCCCAAGAGCTTCAAGAAGGGCTGCTGGCCTGGCTTGCAGGTCCTCCTGGCACCGTGTGAAGGTGTGCGTTCTGGCTTTCCCCCAGCCTCTGAGAATCTGGCATGCCTCTGTCCTGGGAAAGCATTTGGTAGGCAAGAGAGAAGAAACCACTCGCCTCATCTTTGAAGAGACAACGAAATACTGTGGACAGATACACACACATACACACACACACACGGAGGAGGACAATTATGAACGAGATGCCTGTATAGGTCATGGCCGTTGCACCAAGTGTGTGACAGTGAGGCAGAGTTGAAGCTCAGGAGGCAGTAGACAGACGTTAGAGGAATAGGCGTACCTGTGTGGCAGAAGGAGGTGGGCTGCTGGTAAATGATTTTTGAGGCGGGCATGACCTCAGGTGCTTTTGGTGCCTCACTTTCAATTGTTGGTTGCACCTGCTGTGGTTAGCGTCTTCTTGCCCTCTCTAGCCCTGGAGGGCAGACTCTGGGTCTTGCTCACCTGTGAGTGCCTTGCATCACCTGGCATAGAGCTTTGAAGGAACTCAATGCTTTCTACTCCCAGGATGCTCCTCCCCTGGGAAAAAACAGCAACACACCTAAATGCTAGGGAAGTCTCAGCATCCTCCCTTCAGGCTCTGGGGCAGGCAGGTAGTGGGGAAATTTTGAGGCAGGGTCTTATGGGAGCCTTGACCTCATTCAAGATCTTGTATCACTCAGAGATCAAAAGCTAGAGTTCTGTTGTCAAATGCCAAGGTCCAAACACTGGCCCAACATTGACCTAAGGTTCTAATAGGGCCTTAAGCCAATTACTCAACCTCTCTGCCTCTGTCTACTCATTTGTTAAAGAGACAATAGCTATGCTACTCTCCCAGGCCTACTGTGAAGGCTGAAATGAGAAAATACACATGTCCAGCTCCACAGCTTCACATAGCAAATGCTGAATAAGCCTCGGTTAACACGACAATAGCAGTGGCATGCTCGACTTGATCTTTCAGACACTGCAACACTTCAAAATGCTTTGCATATAAGTGACACTTCACAGAATTCTATGCTAATAATGAAGAGAAAGGCAAGACAGTAGGGATAGTGCAGTGCAAGATTGAACATCCAAACTTTGGTGCATGTCCAGGCTCCACCATTGGACAAGGTGGGTGACTTTAGATAATCATCTAACCTCTGTTAGGGACTGATCTGTAAAATAGTAGTAGTACTAGTACCTGTCCCATGCAAAGGATAGTAGGCTGCAGCACACTGGTCCAAGGTAACATCAAAATTAATGTTGTCTAATAGTGTGACAATGCTTGAAAGAGAGTTCTTACAGATTGGGGAAAGGGACAAGTATCCAAACAGTAATGGATTGGGAAGAGGAAGTATAATACTGGGGGTGGGGGAGAGCTAAATCTAAATGTACTAGGTTGGGACTGGTTGATATGGATCTGTGAAAAACGACTGGGATAGGAGAAGTGAGCTTAGAAATCTGCAGGGGGAGCACAAACCTGAAGGCGTTTTCTAGTTGAGTGTGAGTTACTTAAATATGGATGCCCTGTCTGCACAAAGATAAAATTCTTGCAGCACTACAGAGGAGAAATAAAACAGAGTATTGTTTGCAGAATTGCCTTTGACCACTCTCTGAGGTGTCTTCCTGGGATGGTAGAATGCTATAGGCAGTGGCTTTCAAGTATCTGGGATTTAATCCCCTAACACATACAGTTGTGACTTTGTGGAGTCCCAGCACATTGTTACATTGCTTAGTTTTGTCAACTAGTTAGTAGGTCAATATTTATTGGTAGAATAGACTAGGTGTGGTTTCTTCAGGCTTAAAATATCCTCTCCTTTATTTCTGATCCAAAGAATCCTCATTCATTAAGGCCTGGGACAAATGTCACAGATTCTGCCCTCCTAGATTGAATACATTAATGCTTGTAACATTTCCCATTCCCATGGGCTATCCCTCAAGCATTTTCTTAGCACTGATTTTCATTAGGTCTTCAAGTTGTCACAGGGTCTGCCACTCCCTGCTAGTTTTATTTTTTTTTTAAGATTTATTTTATTTATATAAAAGACAGAGTTACAGAGAGAGGTAGAGACGGAGAGATAGTCTTCCATCCTCTGGTTCACTCCCCAGATGGCCACAACAGCCGGAGCTGTGCCAATCCGAAGCCAAGAGCCAGGAGCTTCCTCTGTGTCTCCCATGCGGGTGCAGGGGCCCAAAGACTTGGGCCATCTTCCACTGCTTTCCCAGGCCATAGCAGTGAGCTGGATTGGAAGAAGAGCAGCCGGGACTAGAACTGGCACCCACATGGGATGCCGGCACTTCAGGCCAGGGCTTTAACCCGCTGCACCACAGCACTGGCCCCAACTCCCTGCTAGTTTTAAAGCTCATCCACTTCAGGACCTCTGCTTTCTCTTGTATTTTTCCTCACCATATCCATTCTTTCTCCTCCCTCATCTTTACTCCAAAGACTTGTTCAGCATAGGCACTCAGTAAATGCACATTAAACAGCATTCATAGGCAGGTCTCTCATAATAGATGTTGTACAGGAAGAAGCACTTTTGCCACCACAGAAAAGTAAGAGAAGTTTCCTTTTAAAGACATGACTTTGTCTTTATGCTATGTGCATTTATAACTTCTTAGCCACCAAAAATTGTAGATATTGCTGAAATGTTACATAATTACATCTGGTGTGGTAATGTGGTTTGGATGACTTATAGCAGTAGGTATCAGATGCACAGCATTTAGAATACAATTTTGTTGTGGTACTGGATCACCAAAGTAAGAATTTGGTTTTCTAAATAATTTGTAAATATGGAATATCTTTTTAACTTTTGGAGGTACAAAACCTTGGCCTTAAATCAAATTGTGCTAGCAATCTCTCCACAGTCTTTAATAATGACTTTCATTTCTACAGGGTTTTGTATTTTTCAAAGAGCTTTCTCTTTGATTATCTTGTTTGATCTTCACATCAACCCTGTGATGTGGAAAGAGCTGCTATGAGTATCTGCATTTTACAGATGAAGATAGGAGGGAATTCGGAGGATAAGGCCCTTAAATTCAGGTCAAACGGCAAACTAGCAACCAAGTTAGACTTGGAACCCAGGAATCTAGTATACCAGAGAGTTTTCTGATATTCATGAACATCGTGGTGTTATTATTTATAATCTTTATATGCCAAGATCTTGTACAGGCACGAATCTTATGTTCAAGTGCCTAAATTCCCCATAGAGTTCCTTTAAAAAGTAGAGAAAAACCTCTGCAGTGATCCCCTCTCTCAGATAGGTGTGGATCTGTATAATAATCATTATTTACTATTTCAGTGCTTTTCATCTGGCATGTCAATGTGCATTCCAGCAGTAATTTACTTTAAAAAAAAAAAACTTGAAGTTTACTCCATCAGTGTTTTGAACTTTTCTTATTATAATGTTTAAAGGAAAAAATAAATGTTACTTCAAAACAATAAAAGATCTTCACTTATATGAGGTAACTACAATAGTCAAATACAAGGAGGAAACAGAACAGTGGCCGCCAGAGGCTAGGGAGAGTGGGTACTGGGGAATTGTTTAATGAGTACAGAGTGTCAATGCGGGATGATGAAAAAGCTCTGGCGATGGATTCTGGTGATGGTTACATAACAATGTGAATATACTTAATGCCACACAACTGTGCATTAAAAACTGCTTAGGGGGCCGGCACTGTGGCGCAGCGGGTTAAAGTCCTGGCCTGAAGCACCAGCATCCCATATGGGCGCTGGTTCTAGTCCCAGCTGCTCCTCTTCCAATCCAGCTCTCTGCTATGGCCTGGGAAAACAGTGGAAGATGGCCCAAGTCTTTGGGCCCCTGCACCCACATGGGAGACCCAGAAGAAGCTCCTGGCTCTTGGCGTAGCTCCAGCCATTGTGGCCATCTGGGGAGTGAACCAGAGGATGGAAGACCTATCTCTTTGTCTCTACCTTTCTCTGTAACTCTTTCAGATAAATAAAATAAAATCTTAAAAAAAAAAAAAAAAAAACTGCTTAGAACATGGTGGGCATTTAGCTTAGTGGTTAAGTTGTGAGTTAATATGCCAAAATCGATATCAGAAAACCTGGATTCAATGCCCAGCCCCTGCTTTCTGCTAATGAAGACCCTGGGAGGCAGCAGTGATGGTTTAAGTGTTTGGCTTCCTGCCAACTACATGGTGGTTCTAGATTGAGTTCCTGCTCAGCCATTGTGGGCATTTGGGGAATAAACAAGGAGGGAGCTGTCACTCTCCACCTCCAAGCAAATAACTAAATAATATCATTAGAATAATATTTTGTTATGAATATTTTGTCACAACAAAAAAACAGAAGACCATTTTGTTTTATTAACATGAGTCTCTCTGGCAGA